ATTCCGGTAGATGTCGTGCGGCAGGGGTTTGGAAGCTGCACGTAAGAGGTGGGATGTTTCATGCAGGTCTGTTAGGCACCATTCCGTTGCATTGTTGCAGGACCCTCCGGTGCTGCAGCCTCGAGAAGTTCAGGGGCTTCCGAGAGTGCGAGCACTGCGTTGTGGAGGCCATCACATGTTGGCCAGCACGGAGGGCGGAGACCTATTTGTGTGGGGTTGCGGCTTGACGCATCAGCTGGCCAACCGGCCAAGGGACGTGTCAAACCCAACCGATGCAGATGAGGAGCCCGCAGATGAGCTGAGACCCTACCAAGTGTCTTCGAAGCAGCTGCAGAAGCGCTTCGTGATTGTGGCAGATGGGGGAGCTCAGCACAGCGTGGAGCTTGCATTTGGCGGCCAGTACAGCAGACTCAGCCGTGACGGAGCTGGCACCGGCTCACCCATGGAAACGGACATAGCAGAACCCCCTTCGAAACGCCTCAGAGCGCTTGAGGCCGGTGGAAAGCGCAAAGAAGCGCCAAAAAGTGCAAGTTTGCTCCGCGGCACACCCGAGGCAGCCGAAGTGGATGCTGCCTTGGCTCCAGAGGTTCTGCGGGAGGCTGTCCCGGGAGATGGGTTGTTGCCTTGATGTTTGTGTGACGCTTAAGACGACCTCGGCAGCCCGACAACCTCGACTCTGTGCTACAAGTAGCCACTAAGTAGCCGCTAGAGGCTCTGTGTCCCGGGATTCTTCAGCCTCGCAGGTTTGGCAGCCATGAGCTAGCCGATATACATATGTCCTTCGCGCTCATTCTGCCGCCTGCTCTTGTCATGACGGTCGGGGTTCCTCCGCAGCATGCTTTCATCGTCCAAATATGCAAATTCAAGTATGACTACCCGCTGACGGGATCTCACACTATCTTATGCATGTCTTAAGCGAATGCAGGAATCATGCCTGCGCATAGGTGCTTCTGCACAATCCACATATACAGAATACAGACGGCAGCTCCTTCATGATGAAAGGATGGAGAGGGCAGGGTTCAAGAGGACCGGAGGAGAACTCTGCAACCATTCCCGGCTCGCCTTTGTTGTGATGTGTTTGGCTTCAGAAAGCGTAAATCTGCTTTCAACAAAACAGACGGGCCTACCAGCTGTGTTGATCTTCCTGGCTCATTTCGTAAGCCTATTCAAGAAGTGGTGTACTGAACCCTTAACAGATACAGTCCCGGTGCTGCTCGTGCAGGTATTGCGCTGTTTTTCCGGTCCCATGCTTCATGAGCCTCCTGCGGTGCGGGGCCTGCGTAGATCAGACCTGAGCAGAATGTGTGAAATGACCTCCTGAAGGTGAGCTTCGGCAAGACGCCAAGTTGTTGCCTCAGCTACGAACTCGCGGTGCCGTGCGCGTGTATCACCACATGTTCTCTTTGAGGCCCTCACCAACTTAAGGTCAGCTACTGAGCTGTCAGCACCTGAACCATGAAGCCAACGAGCGACACTCGACTTCGTTTCTGACAGACGCTGTGGTCTTCACGCTCCTCCCCTTTGCCAATGGAGGTGCCGAAGGGCCCTGTGCAAAGTCCGCTAGTTCAGCTCCAGTGCTGAGAGCGATCGGCACAGGTCCCTCCGATCAAAGAGCCTCGACCCTACTGGCAACCCGAAGTTGTCTCGTTTCGTTGGTTTTCTTTGCTCGGAGTGCATCGGACACGAGGCCTTCGTCTGACCAGGAGGCCTGGGAAAAAATGTAAAAGTATTCAGGTCAGCCAGGTAAGCGTTATTCCTACCAACTTCCCCTCCCGAACCACTGGGTCTGCAGGCTTGAAAAGCGCAATTAGTCAAGTAGCCGTGAAGAGGAGGGTCCAAGCAGCACGCTGGGTCCCACCGCTTACAGTTGACAACGTGTATGCAGCAGCGAGACCTCCTGTTGAGCTCGCTGCGGTCTTTCGAGACGGTGTGACAGGAGCGCGAGGAGCACATGATGGCTCAGATGTCGTGCTTACGCCCAAACCTCACTGGCTGACTTTGGAAGAATTAGAAGGGTCTTCGCGTTCGTGTCCCCCTTGCCGTTCTTAGGGCGAAGCACCCTCGAAGAACTGCTGCTGCTGGCATCACGTGCCGGGCTCAAGGGTCCTGGAGCAGTGTGCAGATCTTGCAGTTGCTGTCCCAGCCAGATCATGGGCACCTCATAAAGCTGAGGCCATGACGAGAGCATCAGTAAGCGGATAGCAGCGCACCACTTGGAGACAGACGACCGGCCGATCATTTGACAAAAGACGTGGGTCGTTGCACATTATCGAGTTAGGCTTGCCCGGAAGTGTGCGGGGAGATGAGTTGAAACCATAGTTGGCCCAGGGCTGGGGTGTCGGAACCCTCGTCATTGAAAGCTATCTCCTCGTCGTAGGCCTTGCAGGCCGCTGAGGCCTCACTTCTCAAGCAAGCCTCAGTGTGATCGTGGAAACTGCCGGGCCTTTCGGGCGGCCACTTTGAATTGCGAAGTAGTGCGCGCGAGCTGGCGGATGAGGTTGTCGCCCGAGCTTAGCTTAGCAACCAGCTGCAGCAAAATGTTTTCAAAGTGTGCAAGACACCCAAGAAAAGATGGGTTACCTGTTTGGCGGCGTAGACGGCGACAACAGCTTTCAGAGTCAACATCACAATTCATATGATCCTATATACTACAGTACGAGGTTCAATCTGAAACACTGTCTGTTGCAATCGTGGAAGTAGTTTCCGCACGTCGCGCTGGATGCTGCCGGTGTTGGCGGACCTGTGGCCCAGTGGGGGACAGCAGCGGCGTCAAAGTCGCGATACACCGTGCAGGAGCCAGTGATGCTTGTAGAACTTGCACCCATAGGAACGAGATGCGCCATTCCCGAGCTCGTATCTTCTCATCTCACAACATCTTACAAGGCGCCCATGCGTGGCCGAGAAGGTTGCGCAGTTGTTCTTGAATTTCGTTGTGTGGCGAGAGAAGCAACAAGCGAACATATATCATATAACATTATATCTCTATGCAAGGCTTTTCGGGCTGCGAAGTCTTGTCCGAGTGGCAGTTGTACTGCTGCCCCAGGCATGAAGAGCTGAAGGCTGTGCACCTGCAAAAGAAGATCCGTGAAAGGATCAAGATCCCACGGACTCGTCAATCGGCACGAACACTCACAAAATCAGGACTCGAAATGCTGTGCCGGACAGAGACACCAGTGAGACAGCCGCGGCCTGTGGGCAAGAGGGAATTGAAAAGTGTGAAGCGTTTTGCAAAATAGGGCATGCTCACAGAACTCCAACTTCGAAACATGTCAAATGTCACAAGGCGACACGCAGGAAACCATGTCACGCAGGGCCAGTTCCTTTACGTGGAGCTGGCTACGAGTTCCTGTGGTTTTGCAGGGAGCCCCAAGTTCTAAACGAAGCTCGAGGATCAGCTTTTTGGCTTCGTTATTATGTCCCAGTTGTGGTGTAGCCTTGCCTGCTATGTGCGAGTTGCGAAAAACCGTTCTGAGCCCAAGTGTCGAGCCACATGGAAAGTCATGAGCAGCATGGCAAAGACAAGAATGACAATAGCGAAACGATAGCAATTATACGGAACTTTTTAAAATAGCAGCATCGACAGTTATTCAGGTTTCAACGTTGCACATGTCAGTGTTCTGTTTTCAAGCGCAGCACGAGAGGAAGTGGTTCATCACGAGACTGTGATGTGCCACCTGCCGCATGGCCGATGGTGTGCGCTTTGGCACCCGGCGGCCATCACCGAAGTGCTACGACGCAGACAGCTAACATTGATTCATAGTTTATGATTTTTGGACTCGGGTCGAATGGCAGACATCCACAGAGCTTTCAGTATGTTGGTGGCTAGGTATCGTAGTCTTCACTTCAGATTCCCAGGCTGTTTTGCAGTGTGCTAGGTAGTATTTTCTGAGTTTGTCACGTCTTTGCTGCACATTCTTCGTCCCAGGGCACGCCCCACTTTTGATAGATTCGGTGCTTTGCTCCAGTACGCACCTGGTTCCTATCGCATCATCTTCTACTACTTCGTGAAGGGCCCACTATGCGCTGGGAAGGCGATGAACTTTTTGCGAGAGTCGCCCCGTTGTTCAAGCAGGGCCCCGTGTTGTCTCTGAGCCCTTCCCCTGATATCCAGGGCCTTTGTTTCAGCTTTCTCGTTTGATTGCCGTTCGCCAGAGACAGCAATGCAGAATATTGATGCATCGTGACTTGTTGGTGTTGGTGGTGGATCTCAGGACTGTAGTTTTTGCAAGGCCTCCGCCCTCGGCGAAAGGTGTCCCGCGTTGGTCGGGCTCTTTGCCTTGAAAGTCTTCCCGATAAGGTTCCCGTCCCTGAGGCCCTCAGCCCCTCCAAGAACCTTCAAACAAACCCGAAATCAGCCATAGTGAATAAGCTTTTTGGTACCGAGTCTGAGACTTAGAGGTGATTTTCGGCTGTTGCAGCAAGGGGTTAGGGAATAGGCATACCACAATTAAGTAAGCATCAACAAAATGTCCAAAGCGAGAGAAAGAAAGACAGAAGAAAGCAAGCAAGAAAGAAAGAAAGTAGGAAGGAAAGAAAGCAAGAAAGACGTAAAGAAGCAAAGACAGACAGAAAGAAACCACCTGGTAGAGAGAAAGAAAGAAAGAACTTAATACGGCAAAGAAGGCAGGAAGACATGAATGAATAAAGAACGAAGGAAAACATATAGAGCCAAAGAAATACAGAACCAAAGAACGAAATAAATAAAGAAATAAAAGGAACGAGCGAACGCAATAAAGGAAGAACGCCCAACAGAAACACGGGAAAAGGGTAAACAACTAACATAACTCTTTGCAAGTCCTGGGAGTGCTGTGAAAAGGATCCGAACTCGATTACCCGAACTTCGTTGCCGTCAGGCTGACATTGGAAGCACGCCCCAAGGCCCCACGGGCCGAGCGTGGAGACCGACATCGAAGGGCTGCTCGCTGCAGCGAAATCTTCTCTGAGATCATCCATATCATCTAGCTGGAGGCGAGCTTCCGGATACCCCTCTTGCCGCTCCAGGCTTCGAATCTTTTCGTGACCGAATAGCCCAAAGTTCAAGTCCTTAGGCGAGGGACATCAGCATTCCGTGGGAATGGCCATCAGGTGAGGAGCTGGGGGAAGGAAAGCCCTGATAATTCTAGAATCGCGGGTGAGGCCACATCTGCCGAAATCTGAGCCTTGGTACGCGAGGCGAATGACCCCGCTCTGGGAAACAGATGATTTAGGATTGCTATGCTAGTGTCCGATACTTCGCGCCCACCGGCATTGAAGCTACTCGTAGAGACCGGCTACTGAGCTGGGCTTAGCTCCCCTGCGAGTCCGATCCATTCCGTGGCGTTGCAGCCGGTTCCGCTTTCGCCTATCTTGCTGGAAGTGTTTGTCTCTGACACTCGGTCAGGATCTGCTGGTATCATCTCGACGTCCCAGGAGCTTGCGCACACGCAGTCGAATTTGCCATTATCTTGCTAAGGCTTGTTGTGGTATCCTGCCCACTGTGGGCGTACGCATTACTGGGTGCAAAGGTCGGCTCCGAACGCTGGGTTCACCCGTTATCCCTCTGCGTATGCGACCGGCCCGCCCCCCTTATGCTGGGATCCAGCGGCCCGCGCGTTCCGA